AGGGAGTTCTTCCTTCCTGTGCAGCTGGGCGTTGCAGTACCAGGAGGAGCGGAGTGTATCATTCACTCCGTACGCGCACTGCTACGGGAAGACGAGAAACGCTTGGCCCTGCAGTTAGATGTTGAAAACGCGTTCAACAGCGTCGAACGGCCAGCATTCCTAGGGGCACTTCAGTGGTCGAATCTCAGCCCGCTCCTCCCCCTCGTACGAAACCTCTATGACGGTCCATCCCGACTGCTCGTCGACCACCGCCTAGGAGTTGACCACATTCAGAGCTCACGGGGTGTACGGCAAGGTGACCCTCTCGGCCCCCTTCTGTTTGCGGCGGCAATCCAACCGATTCTCCTGAGTATTGCCGTGTCCATGCCGGAAGTCGCGGTCGTCGCTTATGCGGATGATATCACGATTATTGGCCCGCGGGAAGCGGCTTGCGTGGCCTTCACGACGATCGCCAGCAAACTGGCGGACTGCGGTCTGCGCTGCAATATCTCAAAATCATCGGCGTGGACGGCTTCGGAAGAGGTAGGAGGTGACAGGCTACCGCTGGACCTGACCGCCAACACAGGGGGTATTAAGGTGCTAGGCAGCCCCATCGGAAGTGGGGACTTCTGCACCACCCAAGTCAGGGCGACGCTTGAAGATGCAGCCGCGACCCTACCGCTCATCAGCCGGCTCAACCCGCAGCATGCCCTGCTAATCCTATCGCGCAGCATCTCCCGTAGGATTTCATGTCTCCTACGCACGACACCAGCAACGGCCCTGAGTATGGAGGAGTGGAGGGAGTGGAGCGAGGCTCTGGTGGGATCAGCACTCTCAGCGGCGAAGCTGCGCATACCCACCTCCGAGTTGGAGCAGAGCCTGCTGTGGCGCCAGGCGACGCTACCAATTCGGCTTGGAGGCATAGGGATTATCAACCCCACCTCAGAGGCCCCTGCCGCATACATCGCCTCTGTAGCGGCCGCACATAACCTCCTGCGACACCTGAACCTCCCCCCGGACTGCCTTCTGCACCGAGCTACGACTCTGCTGTCACATGACTGGACCCCGCCGCCCCCTGATACCAACCCCCTGACCCCCCTGGAGGGGAGCCTCCCGGCCTTGGCGCAGGCCGCGCTTGGTCAGTTCCGGGCAGAGAAACCAGGGACAGGCAACCTCCAGCTCTGCCTCTCCAGGTGCATCAACCAGCAGCGGGCAGCGGATCTCCTAGGGGACACTGTGGTTGACCGGCCCGGCACCAACAGGGGCCACGCTATTCGGCTGATCAGTTTGAAAGGGACGGGAGCAGGCGACTGGCTCCATGCAGTGCCAACAAGAGCTGACCTTACCATCTCCCCCGGTCAGTTCTCATTGGCCCTAGGCCTCCGCCTAGGCATGGAGCTCCCAGTGGCCGAGGTTTGCCCGTGTAAGAGAGCTGGCTCATCAATCCTAGATAAGAGCCTCCCTAATCACCTGCTACGATGCCAAGATGGAGGGGACGCGGTGAGAACACACAACGCGCTAGTGTATGCAGCGTTGCGCATGGCGAATGAGGCAGGCTACAAAGTTTACCATGAGACTTCAGCCTTCTCGCCGCCAGTGCTCAGGAAGAGGGCGGACCTAGCAGTCCGGGATGAGGAGTCGGGTGAAACTTGGGTGACCAATGTCACAGTTACAGACCCGGTACTACAGAACAGGGACCCCAGGGCACGTAGGCCACCTGGCTGGGCGGCGGAGGAGGCGTCACAGAGGAAGCACCGCCTGTATGAGGGACGGCCCAGCTACGCGGGCTTCTTCGGCCTGGCAGTCGAGTCCTATGGTGCAATGGCGGCAGACACAGTACAGTTCCTCCGCATGCTCGCCACCCATGCGGCGAAGAAGAAATTTCGGCAGGGCCGCCTCACCACCACCGCTGCTCGGTTAAACGCACACTACCGACCGCGTTGGTCAGTGATGTTGCAGCGGAGCCAAGCTATCTCTCGCCTTTCAAAGTCCAACCGTGCAGCCGAAGCGGCATTCTCACAGTCGGCATCAGACCCTTGGGCACCACGGCTTGGGGACCTGTGGCAAATGACCCAGGACGACTATGAGGAGCGAGAGGCTCCGGCCAGGGCAGCATAGAAGGGCAGGGCTGAAGGGTGGCGGGGGGAAGAAGAGGGGACGAAGCAGCAGCGGGGTGGACTATAAGGGACAGCGGGTGATTAGCAGGAGGAGGCACAGGACAGGCAGAAGGAAGGAAGGGGCTGCTTGGGAGTGACACCGCCACTACCCGGCTTTTTAGGTGCTAGGTGATGAGTACCCACACACACACACTCATTGTGCCTACTGGCTCGGCTTGCATGCTTGCCTGCTTGCTCTGACTGTTAGCTTTAGGTGCTGGTTGCCTTTATGCCTAGACATACTAGCTACTATTTCCTGCCATGCCTGTACCCCCTGTTCACTATCAATACATTTTCTCCCACTCCAGTAATGCGTCGCCGTCCAGGGAGGTAGCGAGGCGATAATCCACGCCGCCAGATCATACATGAGCACGCACAGTGACGCCACGATCCTCCAGGCAGATCTCTCAAACGCCTTTAATAGCATCAGTCGCGAGGCAATCGTAGCGGGCCTACGTGGAAGTACGCTAGAAGGGATCCTCCCCCTAGTCCACTCCTCTTACGGCGCGCCGTCAGAGCTATTTCTCGACGCCGGCTTTAATAGCCCTCCCATATCCAGCATTACAGGGGTCCGCCAGGGCGACCCCCTCGGGCCTTTGCTCTTCGCCGCGGGCATCCACCCGTCCCTCGCCTCGACCGCAGCCGCCTTCCCGACCGTGCTCTGCCTCGCATTCGCTGATGATGTCACGTTCCTGGGCAAAGTGGCGGAGTGTACAGCGGCGTTCACCCACTTCACGAGCAGCCTCCGTAGCATGGGGCTCAGGCACAACGCCGGGAAATGTGCGGCGTGGAGCGCTGTTCGACCACCGGAGGGGGCCTTGCCGGAAGGGGTCCCATTCTGCCACGACGGACTGCGTGTTCTGGGCAGTTTCATCGGCGCGCCAGACGGAGCAGCTACATTTATTCGGGCTCAGCTGCAAGCCATGACAACCCCACTCCCGCAGATAGCCGACCTGGAACCACAGGCAGCATCACTACTGCTGACGAGGTGCATCTCGAGGCGGATGTCATACCTCGCGCGCACAACCCCACTCACCCTTCTGCCCGAAGAGGAATGGTCACGGTGGGGCCAGAAGCTGCTCCACACACTGCTCGACGCCTGCGGCGTGCGCCACCCAAGGGGGGATGCGGAGGAACAACGCGTGTGGGACCAGGCTTCCCTCCCCCCGAGCCTGGGAGGTCTGGGGCTGGCGGACCCATCGGTGGAAGGGCGCTACAGCTACCTGGCAAGTTTTGTCCAGGCGCACGGACTGCTAGCCTCCCTGCCCGGCCCCGCAGGAGCTCACCTCTCCACCGCCCTGAACTGGACCGAGGAGGTGGACCCGGACCCCAACCAACTGCAAACCTGGCTTGGGGAGTGCAAGGCAAGCCTCACACAGGAGGGACGTGACCTGCTGGCGGCAGAAATGGCAGCACCCAAGGGACAGCTGCAGCACCGCCTTGCCCTCTTGGTCTAGGGTGGGCGCAGTGCCGCTCAGGTTGCAGCATCACGGCATATGGAGTTGAACCCCCTATGCGGGCACACGCAGCGGCTCTTGTCCCTCACAGGCTACGGTGCAGGGGACTGGCTGATAGCCATCCCCTACATGCCCTCCCTCCGCCTCGATCCTGACCACTTCTCATTCGCCCTCCAGTTCCGCCTAGGACTGCCTCTCCCCGTCCCTGACAACTGCGACTGCACAAAGAGAGTCGCCATAGCAGACAAGCGCCTCCCCAACCACCTCCTCCGCTGCGGCACAGGGCACGGACGGACCAACACACACAACGAGCTGAGGGATGAGTGTGTGCGTATGGCCCAGGACGCGGGGTTCATAGTGCACAAGGAGAGCACGGCGTTTAGCCCGGTCGACAACAAGAAGGCCGACCTGGCCATCCGGGACAGAAGCAGTGGGGCGGTGTGGCTGGGTGACATAACCATCACCGACCCTATCAGCAAACGGGACGAGACTGCCAGGAAGGGACGGGGATGGGCAGCAAGGGAGGCAGCAGACAAGAAAATCGGGCTATACCACGGCAGGGCTGAATTTGCAGGCTTTTACCCGCTGGCAGTCGAGACCTATGGCTGCCCGTGCGATGAGGTGCAGGCTTTCCTGAAGCACCTGGCGGACAGAGCAGCACGCTTACATTTCAACGCGGACCCCTCAAGCTTCCAGGCCGCAAAGCTGCTGCACCAGTTCCGCCAGCGGTGGTCTGTCGCCTTGCAAAGGGCACAGGCAGTGAGCTTCCTTATCAAAATGAACCTGGCAGCCCAGAAGGAGAACCCTGCCTTAGGAGGCCCTGAGGGGGTCCTAGACCCGGGGGAGTGCTTCGCTACCCTAGAACCGGGCAATGGTAGCGAGTAGATGACTTGGGGGGGGGGAGAGGGGAAAGGGGTAGGAAGGAGAATAGTTAGACATACCTGTTTGTTGCTTGCTTGCTTGCCTTTGCTGTTTTCTCTTTTCTATATCAATACAAAGGACCGTTCGAGAGAGAGAGAGAGAGAGAGAGAGAGAGAGAGAGAGAGAGAGAGAGAGAGAGAGAGAGAGAGAGAGAGAGAGAGAGAGAGAGAGAGAGAGAGAGAGAGAGAGAGGCATAGTCCCTTAGTCCCTTAGCCTCTCAGCCTCTCAACCTCCCCTACCCCAGCTATATAAGGCCGTGGGTCTGGTGTGTGTCTCATTATTCAGTTGTAGGTTCATTTCTTCTAACCCAGCGGCTCGCGCCGGCGGCCTTCGGCGGCCGACGCTAGACAGCGCGGCCTTCGGCCGCGCGCTAGGGGCGGCAAGTGTCAACAGACACAAACGGCTATAATCAGGGGCATACACGCAATGACAAGGTCATCTGCCTAGGAAACACACGAAACAACAATGGAGTAGGAGGGGGAGGGCTCTAGAACTGATCAGTGTCAAGAACAGCAAGGAGCCCAGTCAGAGAGCGGTGGAGCTCCCGCACCACCGCCGTGCTTGCGCCGATCACATCGGCTGCAGTCCCAGCGCGCAAAAAGCGCCTCAGGCCTCGTACAGCTGTCCTCAGCTGCCCAACGCCCGCAACTCCTCCCCTCGCGGGTGCAGCCAACACGGGCGCCAGGAGCTCCGCGAGCCGATCCGCGGCGTCAAGACACTCGTCCCGGGAACCGCCATCCAGGGAGTTCCCACGGGAGAGACCCGCGTGACCAAACATCTGGACCAGATGAACAGCCCGCAACCCCTCAGAGAGGCGCCACAGCTGCTCAAGGGTCGCCTCCGGAACCTCTGCCGCGCGGGGGGGACTCACGAACGGCTGGAACGGCATTCCAGCACCAGCAGCATGGGGAGCAGAATCACCGGGCAGAAGGGACGGATAAGGAGCAGGGGGAGCAGGAGGATGAGTAGCCACCGCCGCCGGTGCAGTCACAGGAGGTGCAACAGGTGGAGGAGCGGCAGACGCACGAGGGAACCGCTGGTTCGCCTGCAGGGCCCTCTCCTCGCGCATCGGAGCCGTTACAACCCGCTGCAGGTCAGCCATCGTCACCGGCCCATCAAACGCCCCGCCACGTCCACGTCCGTGACCTCCCCTCCAGCCCCCTCGCCCACCCCGTCGTGCGTGCCAGTTCCCGCCCGGTGAACGGCGCTGAGGAGACTCCTGCCGACGCCAGGAGGACTCCCGCTCATCTTGCGGGAGGGGCGAATGGGGTCGTGGTGGGCGGCGATCGGGAGAATGCGGACGACACGGCTGCCCAGACGGAACCAACGGAGGCGCTGCAGGCGCCGACTGAACAGCCTCGGCAGGCACCACCACAGGGGTCGGGCCGCCAATGGTGGCGGACACCTCCGCCAGCACCAAGTCGCTGCCAAGAGCAGCAGGGGCAGCGGCGACCATCTGAGCGGCATGGACGGGGGCAACAGGGGGCGCAACAGCAGGATCAGCGGCAGCAGTTGGCGCCGCAGGGTTTACAGGGGCAGGCGGTGCAACAGCAGGAACAGAGGGTGCAGGAGGGTCCGGAGCAACAACAGGAGCAGGTGGGACAGGCAGGAGAGACGCCGGAGCGTCAGGCGCCACGTGGCATGGATCCAGAAGCGCAGAGACACCAGCAACGGAATGCGCTGGCTTCGGGGCAGGGGGGACTGGCGGCTTCATTGCAACACTCCCCGAGGCAGACGCAGACAGTGACCTTCCGCTCGCCTCTGACGCAGCGGCAGCGGGCTTTGGCGATGGCCACGAGTCGCCAGCAACCACCATTGCGAGGCGGGAGGCGACGAGGAGCAGGACGTCGAGAGGGCCGCGGAGTCGAAGGTGGACCGGAGAACGCGTTCCAAGCGGCAGCACGAAGGGCTTTAAACTGACTGATTGAGAATGACGAACGCGAAGACCTGACTTATGTAGCAGATCCACAAGCATCGAGCAGCAGTAGCGAGGGAGAAGCCGAGGAGGAGGAGGTGAGAGAACAGACGGGGAGACGAAGTGGAGTGAATCAGAGAGGAACGGAGGGGCAGTCAGGAAGCAGACACCAGCCACAGGATGGTGATCGGACGGTCACCATCCCAACCCCGACGCCTACTCGCACCCCAAGCCGCGGACGAGCAAATCGAATTTCAACGTGACCGGATTGGCCAAAAATCAAAGCCCGGCTCCGAGCATTTCAACGCGGCGAATGGCAGGAGTTGTACCAGGACGCGGTGGAAGCAGCCAACACGCCACCCCCGCCACGTCACCAGCCTGACGACCTCAGCACCATCAGCAGGGCAGAAGGCCTAGCGATGAAGGGAAGCCTACGCCGAGCCGTGATGGCTCTCGAGTCAACCCCAGTCTGCACGCCGAGCCCCGAGATTCTGGACGAGCTCCGACACAAACACCCACCTGCCGACCCTGACCCTCTGACCTGGCCAGCCATCGCCGAACCAGCCAGTCTTGAAATTCCGTACGCGGATTTTACGAAACTGCTCAGCCGGTGCGAGAACGGCGTGGGGGCCGGTCCGAGCGGAATGACATTCGAACACCTACGCGACGCGTCAGTGACAAATGCATCTGTCACCACCCATCTGCACGCCTTAGTAAACATGATTCTGCGAGGAGACCTGCCACCGCCCGTAGCGCAACTGCTCACATCTTCGCGCCTGATTGCCCTGGCAAAGCCGGAAGGTGGGGCCCGCCCGATTGCGATTGGTGAATGCCTGACACGCTTGGCAGCGAAGGCGGCACTGTCATCACTGGGCGAGTCAGCTCTAGGTTATTTTCTGCCACTACAGTACGGCGTGGCTGTGCCGGGGGGGGGAAGAGGCAATTATTCACAGCTCACGAGCGTACACGGACGCACATCCCAACTGCCTTATACTGCAAACAGACATCTGCAACGCCTTTAACAACATAAAACGACAAGCCATTATTACGGCGCTACAGGACCCGTCCCTCTCTCCACTACTACCGCTGGTCAAACTGACCTACGGCCAACCGTCATCTCTAATCCTAGACGCCAGCTTCAACAGCCAGCCGCTGACTAGTGAACGCGGGGTGCGGCAAGGAGACCCCTTAGGCCCGCTTCTGTTCGCGGCTGGGATTCACCCTGCCCTGAGATCAACAGCAACAGCATACCCCGGCGTACTGTGCCTGGCATACGCCGACGACGTGACCTTTTTGGGCGACCCTCGTGATGCAGTAACAGCGTTTACACACTTCACTGACCAACTGGACCAAGTAGGACTACGACACAATCCGTCCAAATGCGTCGCGTGGTGCAGTCAGCCGATAGATACAGCAGTACAGCTGCCGCCCGGGGTACCAATCAGTGACGATGGCGTTAGAATCCTAGGCAATTTTCTAGGAACATCGAACGGAGCCGCCGCCTTTCTCTCCGCGCAGCTGCAGTCCATGTCTAAACCGCTACCACTGCTAGAACGTACGGACCCACAGGTGGCAGGCCTCTTGCTCACACGCTGCATTTCACGCCGGGTAGCATACCTCACACGAACAACCCCACTGCATCTCCTGGAACGACACATTTGGTCACAATGGGGTAGGGACTTGCTGGCTACCCTTCTCACAGCGTGCGGCATACGTTTTCCAACAGATAGCGCAGAACAGAGCCGTGTCTGGGAGCAATCGTCACTGCCACCATCCCTAGGCGGAATAGGACTTGCAGACCCCACGGTAGAAGGAACTTGTGGCTTCATGGCCAGTTTTACGCAGGCCGCCCTCCTCCTTAGCCAACTACCACTAGAGCTGGGAGTAGACTTGACAGCCGTACGGGACCATATGCTGCTGCCGCGAGATACAAGCACGCCCCTACACCAGTGGTTGACGGAATGCGAAACATCACTGCCCAAGGAAGCCAAGGAGATCCTAGTCAAAGAGAGACTTAAACCGACTGCACTGCACAAGACTCGCAAGGTAGTCTAGGAGGTACACAACAACAAAGTCAACGAGCTCAGCGACTACGGCAGACGCAGCAGGAGACGAGAACGAAGGGTCAGTCACCATCGTAGCAAGAAAGCGAGTAAGGGTCGGACTGGACGCACGAGCAAGGTCAGACGGAGGGTCAGCAACGTCAGGAAGAGAGGACGCAGGAGGTAACAGCAGGACAACACGCTGTGGAACAGAGGAAGGACGGAGTGTCATATCGTGAGTGCCTGGGACAGCCGGAGCACGCTGACGACGAACACGAGGAACACGAGCACGGACACCAGCTCTAGGCTCGGGCTCAAGGTCAAAGCAGGACTCAGGCTCTCGACGCTCAGGGGTGGAAGCACGAGTCTCAGGCTCTCGACGCTCAGTCAGGGACTGTGTCACCGCAGTGTAAGGAGCAGGAGCAGGCAGTGGGGAGTGCGGTAGGAGCTGCGGCTATGACTGGTCTGCCGGGGGAAACAGTAACGGGGGAGTAGTACCTGCCACAGGGAAGTAAGTAGCACCTGGTGGAAGACTGAGAAGGTGGCGAAGAGCACCAGCAGCTCCCGTACCTCCAGCACGAGCAGTTCCTCCAGTACTCCCAGCAGCACCTCTAGTACCTCCAGCACCAGCAGCACCAATAGCTCCAGGTCCTCCAGCACCAGCAGCACCTCCAGCACCAGCAACACCAGTAGCTCTACGTCCTCCAGCACCAGCAGCACCTCCAGTACCTCCAGCACTAGAAGCACCAGTAGCTCCAGGTCCTCCTGCACCAGCAGCACCTCCAGTACCTCCAGCACCAACAGTAGGACCAGCACCTCCAGCACCAGCAGCTCCAGTAGCTCCACGTCCTCCAGCACCAGCAGTACCAGTAGCTCCACGTCCTCCAGCACCAGCAGCAGGACTAGCAGCTCCAGCACCTCCAGCACCAGCAGCACCAGCAGCTCCACGTCCTTGAGCACCAACAGCACCTCCAGTACCTCCAGCACCAGCAGCAGGACCAGCAACTCCAGCAACCTCCAGCACCAGCAGCTCCAGCTCCTCCAACAGGGTCACCCACAGCTCCACCGCCACTAGGACTCGCAACACCCCCAGAGTCAGCACCTCCAGTCGAAGCGCCCCCAGAACCCTTACGCTTGGACTCAGCACCCCCAGAACCAGCACCCCCAGTGTCACCACCAACAGCAGCTCCAGGGTCCACAGCAGCAGGCTGCTGAGGCGGCGAAGACGGCCGAGGCGGAAAACCAGGGGGGGTCTCCAAGCGAGGAGAGCGGGCAACCTCAGGCACAGTACCCCCAAGCTCAGCACCAACAGTCTCAGCTCCAGAGTCCACAGCAGCAGGCTGTGGAGGCGGAGAAGACGGTCGAGGCGGAAAGCCCGGGGGGGTCTCCAAGCGTGGAGGGTGGCGAGTGGCCGCCGTGTCGTCCGCAACAAGGTCAACCCCCTCAGCTGGGCCACAGGAGTCAGAAGAGATCTCCACTGGCTCATCCAAGGGGGGTGGGTTGACCTGAGACACACCTGAGGGAGCAGGACCCTGTGGGGGGAGTGGGTCTACCGGGGGGGGGCTGGTACTAGGAAGAGGGGTGCAACGGGGACCGGGTGAGACGCGTGCGGGTGCAGCTGGTAGAAGAAGACAGACTCGTCAAAGGTGACGTCCTGGGAGGCGAAGACTCGACGCGAGGGCAGGTGGTAGAACTGCCACGGCGGGGCGTCAGTGGGGAAGCCAAGGAAGACGCAGCGAAGAGTGCGGGAGGAGAGCTTGCTCGCTTTGGCATCGCGAACAAGGGAGAGCGCGCCCCAGACCCGAAACACTGACGCATCGCCAGCCTTCCCCGTCCACCGAAGTGTGGGCGAGGTCTCTGGCTCCGAGACACGGGGCCAGAGGTTGAGCTGATGCGCAGCGTATCAGACTGCAAACGGCCACAAAAAATGGGGAGCAGCCGCATGGATCATGGAGGTACGAGCAACCTCCATGATCAGGCCAATGCGACGCTCAACAATCCCATTCTGCTGAGGAGAGGCAGGAAGCGTGAACGACAGGCGGATGCCCTCGTCTTGACAGAACTCCGCAAGGAGGTCAGAAGAGAACTCACCGCCCCTGTCAGAGTGCAGACGCAGGACTGGGAAGTCCTGCTGAAAACGCTCGTGCAGCTGGAGACGAGTAGCACGGATCCAGGGGATCAAAACACCGCTGACGTCTGCCTTGCGACGCAAGGGGAAGACAGTGGTGTAGCGTGTGTAGTCATCAACAACCAACAGGAAGTAGTGCTCCTGACTCGTTCCACCAATGGGGGCCGGGCTCCACACGTCCATGTGGAGAGTCTGCAGAGGAGCGGTGGTCGGAGGAAACTCGGAGGAGTGAGGAGCGGCGCGCTGCCGCCCCTCGACGCAGGGAAGACACGGCGGGGCAGGAGAGCGCGGGAGGGAGGGCAGGGACTCGGGAAGGCCAGAGACAAGGAGAGGGGAGTGCATGCTGCGGAGACGCGGCAGGGAGGGGTGACTGAGGCGGTGGTGCCAGAGGAGAGTCTGGTGGGAGAGTACCCGACACGAGCAGGGCGCTGCAAGCTGACCAGACGCAGACACCTGACCTGACACATCCACCTGTGCAGACGCAGTGGTCAGTGTGTACAGACTAGACCCAGGCCGTCGAGTGAACGTAGCAAGGTGACGGCTAGTCCGGGAGCACGTACAGATCACCACACGCTGCCCTCCAGGAGTAAAGGTATCAACCCAGACATCTTGAATGGCAGCGTTGCTCACCAAGTTCGTAGAGAACGTGGGGAGGTGGAGACCTGACAAAGAACCGGAGGGGACTGCTGGACACGGGAGGACAGTGAAGGACCGTGCGACGACTGGGCCCCCAGTGGGGTCAGCCAGTGAGACCGCGACCGGGGCAGCTAGTGGTGTGAGTGTGGTGGCGTCACGAAAGAAACAACGAGACGCGCCAGAGTCAAGTGTGAAAGTGTGCAGGGCCTCAGCGGAGGCAATGGACTCACTAGCACCTGGGACAGCAGACACACTGGCACCTAGAGTTGCTGCAGACTCACTATCACCAAGAGCAGGAGCATCACCAGGGACACACGAGAAACACGCACCGTCATCACTAGACTCAGTCACATACATAGCATATAGAGCCTTGCTAATCCGAACAAAATCAAGAGCATGAATATCTACTCCCATCCGCCACAGTTTCAACCAGTTGGGGACAGCCAGCTCAGTCCCGTACTCATCCACCCAGGCATCCTCAAGACGACCGAAGCAGCGGTACTCAGTGTGCGGCTTCCCGCAGGGCTGACCCTTTAGCTTCCCAGTGCGCCGGACATACGGGCAGCGCCCAGAGCCCCCAGAGGCACCACTCCCGACCACCCACTCACGGAGTTGCTGCGGGGTGGGGTTCTCCGGGAGGCGCGACAGCTGCTGTCCACCCCCAGAGCCTCCACCGCCACGGGTGGGACCGCCACCGCCTCCACCCTTGCCAGCCCCACTCCGACCTCCTCCACCACCCCCGCCACCTCCACCGCCCCCGCCGCCTCCACCGCCTCGTCCGCCGCCACTGCCTCCTCGTCCGCCTCGTCCGCCACCACCTCCACCCTTGCCAGCCCCACTCCGACCTCCTCCGCCGCCCCCGCCACCTCCACCGCCCCCACCGCCTCCACCGCCTCGTCCCCCGGAGCCGCCCCCACCGCCTCCACCCCCGCCCCCGCCACCCCCGCCACCCCCACCGCTGTTGCCACCCCCACCACCTTTGCCCCCTTTGCCCTTGCTGTTGTTGCGCCTTCCACTAGGAGTAGACGCAGCGCCAGCCTCCTCAGCACCAAGGAGGTCGACAGTAGCAGCAGTAGCAACTGAGGGGAGGAGAGGGGAGGGAGAACATCCTTCAAAGAAGGGGGAGCGGGGAGTGCCGCGAGAGGCAGCGACAGCATTGGTGCTCTTCTCTGCCTCGAGAAGGGACTTCTCGAGCGAGTCAAGTGTGAGCTCAGTGGGGTCAAGGGCTAGGAACTGGTCCCTGACAGTGCGAAGGGAGTCAGGGAGGCGAGTGACGAGGAGGTACAGGGTGAAATATTGCGGGGGGGGGAGGGGTTCTTAGCGAGAAAGTCCGGCTTGAGAGCGGAGCGGAAGCGAGCCTCACTAGTGCGGAGGTGGGTAAAAAGGTCAGCGACAGTGGTGAAGGCAGCTAGGTCCGGATGCAGGTACGGCAACATGAGACGGCCTACGGCAGCAGTGACCGGGGAGGAGTAGCGAGCGACGACAGCGTCATAGAGGGCCTGGGCTGTTTTCTGCTGGCTAAAATGCGCTCGTTCAGCGACATGAAGGTGGTTGCGAACCGCAAGGTGGGCAGCAGCATCACGAATCATCCACTGAGTATGAGCAGTTGTCTCTGTGGCAGGTGGGGCGGGGAGGGTTCCGTCGGTATGGGCTAACAGGGGAACTCCATCCTTCGCCTCGCTCTGCAGGAACAGCCGGAGGTCATCGAGCCAGATGTCAAAGTCGATCGCGCGGCCCTCAGCATCGAAACTAAGAACGGAGACGGTAGTCATAGTAGCAGTAGCAGCAGCAGCAGCAGCAGCAGCAGCAGCAGCAGCAGCAGCAGCAGCAGCAGCAGCAGCAGCAGCAGCAGCAGCAGCAGCAGTAGCAGCAGCAGCAGCAGCAGCAGCAGCAGCAGCAGCAGCAGTAGCAGCAGCAGCAGCAACAGTACAGTAGGGGCAAGGCAGGGCGGGTCTGGCAGGGCGGCGCGGCTCGGCAGGGCGGCGCGGCTCGTGCTGGGCAGGGCGTAGCAGCGGCGCAGCAGCAGTGGCAGCAGCGCTTGCAGCAGCAGGAGCAAAAGTAGTTGCAGCAGCAAGTAGCAGCAGCAGCAGCAGCAAGGAGGAGCAGCTGCAGCAAGTAGTAGCAGCAGCAGCAAGGTCAGGCGCAGTAGCAGCTCAGGCGCAGCAGCAACTCTGGTGCAGCAGCGCGCTAGCAGCAAATGCAGCGCGCGAGCAGCAGGGGCAGCGCGCAAGCAGTGGGCGCAGCTTGCGGGCTGTAGGACAGGGCGTCGCGCGGGCTGGGCAGAGGGGCGCGCGTGACTAGGCAGAAAAATCGTCTCGCCTAGGGGACGGGACGCGCCTAGGGCAGAAAAAATCGTCTCGCCTAGGGCACGTTTCGGGTAGGATAAAAGACGGGACGCGCCTAGGGGCGCGACTCGGGCAGCTGATCGAAAATTGAATGGTGGGCCCTTTTAAAAATTCGGTCCTATGAACTATAACGCTCTTAATACCATGTTAAACTAAGAGAAGAGGAATGGTCGATTAGGTAAGGGGGAGGGTACAAGAATGTCGAGAGAATGGTTGTACCCTCTAGGGATAACCCCTACACAGCCTACAAAGCTGTAAACATATAAAGTGTTATGACACATTTTACATGACCAGTTGAAGGCATGTTTGAGATTTTGTAGAATTCTGAGATTTTTCTGGAATTTTGTGGATTTTGATCACCCTACTACACTTTCATTTGAGTTCATACGGTATGTGGGATAAGTTCTGTATCGCGAACATCAAAATTTCAAAATACCGGTACCGTGTACATCAGAAACCACTGCTTGGGTGTAGCACTGCACTAGTCGTCCTCTGCCTGGGCCTGTGCGCGCAGGTTGAGATTCTTGTCTCTCTTCTGAAAGTCCATCATGCCCTTCTTATGTTTGCAGCGCCTAAAAAACAGTGTAGCCTTAGTCGTCCTCTGCCTGGCCCTGCGCGCGCAGGTTGAGGTTCTTGTCTCTCTTCTGAAAGTCTGTCATGCCCTGCCCGCTCCCCACCACCCCCACCTTGCCCCCCACATCCTCTGGCGATTTGAAAATGCTCTCCTTCTTGCGGCCTGTCAGGAAGCCCGCCTGAGAGAATGGGATGCGAGGATGGGATGGGACGGGATGGGGTGGATGGAGAGAGAACACTTTTTAGGCGCCTCAAAAGTAACCCTCACTCTGCTGCCAGCATTCTCTGGCGATTTGAAAATGCTCTCCTTCTTGCGGCCTGTCAGGAAGCCCGCCTGAGAGAATGGGATGCGAGGATGGGATGGGACGGGATGGGGTGGATGGAGAGAGAACACTTTTTAGGCGCCTCAAAAGTAACCCTCACTCTGCTGCCAGCATTCTCTGGCGATTTGGAAATGCTCTCCTTCTTGCGCCCTGTCAGGAAGCCCGCCTGAGGAGATCAGATGGGAGGGGAAGTGAGACGAGAGATGCAGCCGTTGAGATGAGAGAGAGAGTACTCTGAAGACTGTGAAAGGCGAAAGCGGCTTTGATGTGCCTCAACAGATGCAGTCTCTGAGGTGACAGGTGGTTGCGGTGAATATTCAACCCAACAAATGTGAAAGGTGAAGAGCGAGTGAGGAAATTGATTGAGCGAGTCAAGCACCAAGGGCACATCTAAAGTCCGCGAGCGATCGAGCGAGTGAGGCTCTGTCAAGTGCCAAGGGCAGAGGCAGTAGCCAACATATGTCCGCGATGCGTTCAAGATATGTCTGCGATGAGTTCAATATATGAGCCGCTTCAAGAAACGAGTACTCTCAAACGGAAAGGGGTGATGCATAATTGTAACGGCGAAGAGGCGTATGTAAACGAATTGGTGTCGTGAAGAAGAGAGAAGATTGTTAGGAGAGAAATAGTGGGATGGCAAAGAGGCTCATAGAGATGACTCATGCATGGCATGTGCATGGAATGGGGAGAGGACGTTACAGACCTTTTTTTTGCTGCCCTTGGTTTGGAACTGCTGCCACGTGTTCTGCTTCTTGTTGGTCATCACCTCGAGCATCTCCATCCGCTGCTTCGACTTGAACGCGTGGATCTTCCGCTTCTTCTCCACTTTCTGGGAGGACAAGGGCGAGCAGGAGAAGGAGCATGGGTAGAGGACATGGGACAGGAGCGAGCGCAATTGCCTCTTGTTCTTGGATTTTCGGGGAGAACACAGGACAAGAGGCGATTCAAGGAGAGGGTGAGGAAGCGCAGGGAATGGGAGAAGGCAATGAGGAAAAGGGGCGGGATAGAGGACACAGATCACGATAGGAGGAAAAGGCGGGAACACATGAAGTCAGGGATACGATGGGGGAAAAGTGAAGTCATAAAACACCTCAAGTACGAGAGAGTAGCAATGCTACTTCAGCAATGTGACCTCACCAGGCGCTACCCTTCAATCCTCTCCACCCCTCTGCACCGCACTCACCACATCCTCCGAATCCTCCGGTTTGATCCTCAGCTTGAGCGGAATCTCCTTCTTCACCAGCTCTGTCCTGGAAGCTTCCTCCAGCTTTCTCTTGAGTGCTCTCCTCGTCTCATCCGCCTCTCTCTCAACGGCTGCCAGTGCCTCCTGCGCTCGCTTCCTTGCGTCTTCTTCGCTCTCCTCCACCCGCCGTACTCTCGTCTCTCGTACCTGGGGGGTGTGTATGTGTGAGGGAAGTAGGGCGTGTGCGTGTCAGTGAAGTGGAATGTGTGAGTGCTCTCCTTGTCTCATCCGCCTCTCTCTCAACGGCTGCTAATGCCTCCTGCGCTCGCTTCCTGGCGTCTTCTTCGCTCTCCTCCACCCGCCGTACTCTCGTCTCTCGCACCTGGAGAATTTTGTGTGGGGGGGTTGGGGGTTCAAGTGGTGTCAAGTGGGGTGTGAGTGCTCTCCTCGTCTCATCCGCCTCTCTCTCCACCGCTGCCAGTGCCTCCTGCGCTAGCCGCCTTGCATCCTCCTCACTCTCCTCCACCCGCCGCGCTCTTGTTTCTCGCACTTGGCGGTGGGTGCGCGAGAGTGAAATGGGGTGTATGTGGTGTGTGAGTGTGTCAAGTTCCATTCGCTACTCTCTCTCCACGGCTGCCGGTGCCTCCTCACGTCCTCCTCACTCTCCTCCACTCGCCGCACTCTTGTTTCTCGCACCTGGGGGATTGCGCGGTGTGTGTGTGTGCCAAGTGGTAGGTGTGTGTAGCGTGTTTGCGTGTGAGCAAGAGAGGTAGGAGAGCTTTAAGTGTGCCTATGGTGCCGCCTTGCACCCTGCTCGCTCTCCTACACCCGCCTCACTCTTTCTTGTGCACCTGGGGAAATGCATGTGTGGGTGTGGGTGGGGAGTGGTGTGTGTGGGTGGGTTGAGTTGTGTGTGTGGGTGGGTTGAGTGGTGTGTGTCTGTAGGGCGAGTAGAGTATGTGGTGTGGGCCACCGAGTGGTGAGTGGTGTGAGCAAGAGAGGTAGGAAAGCCAAGAGTACCAGACATTGGTGCATCGAGAGGCATCCCTCCCGTGTCACTCACTCTCCACCCGGGGAAAGCTGCACGCGTGGCTCACGAACAGGCAGAGGCTTGAGGCAAGGGCTGCTGGGGCGGAGTCGTGGCGTCCAAACAAACATTTGCAAGAGGTCGTACAGGAGCGATCTGATGCTGCCCAGATTGTATTCAGTTTTCAATATTCCCAAAACTAATTGAGAATCAACATTGCGGGAGCGATTTTGATGCTGTCGAGATTGGGAAAGTGAACCCCAAAAGCAGGCAAGAGATCCACCTTGCACAATGGTGTATCAACAGGGTGTTCCGGACCCTGGTGCGCTGTATTTCGGTGAATGAGAGGAGTACGAGGGGAGTGAGAAGAGCAAGAGGAGAGTGAGAAGAGTGAGTAGAGAGCATGGGGGGTGCAAGTGCCTTACCTCGTGCATCTGCCCGCCTGCATCGCGCACCACGTAGCCTCCTGTTGTCACACTGTCCACCACGCCCTCAAGCCTGGCCAGGGGGGTTCAAGAGAGCGAGGAGCAGGGCAAGGAGCAAAAGGATCATGGCAGGCACAGAAGGATCTGTCCCCCTTCACAGAGAGCACCACATAGCCCCCCGGTCACACTGTCCACCACGCCCTCAAGCCTGGCCAGGGGGAAAGGGGAGGGAGCATTGCAGGGAGGGAGGGAGAAAAGTGGAACAATTTAGTGGAACAAGCTTCACGGAAAAGGGCTTGAGTTTCTGCTTTGAAATTCACTTAACAAGCCTTTTGCCGTGAAGCTTGTTCCACTTGGTATCAGAGCCTAGTTTTTCCTCGTGAATTGCTACCGGGTGAATTTTGCACCATGCGCGATGTAGAGCGTGATGCCGCGGTGCGTGAGCTCGTAGCTCACGAGGTGCAGGCTGCCTTGCAGAAAGTAGCTGCACAGCAGAGAGTTGCTACAGCTCCAAGAAGTGCAGTAGAGTCTACTTCCCGTGTTAGAGCATCGCTGCCGGACCCGTTTGTCCCTGGCAAAGGACAACCAGTGGTGCGTCGATGTCTCTTCTTGGTGTAGGAATATCTGCGCTTGAGTCACGTGGCTGGAGAGGAGTGGGCGCCGTTCGCTGGAACACTATTCCGAGGCTCTGCAATCGCATGGTGACAATCGGTGCGACCCGTCATCCAGATTGAAGAGCCTCGGAGTAGCGTTCCAGCGAACGGCGCCCACTCCTCTCCAGCCACGTGACTCAAGTGCAGATATTCCTCCACCAAGAAGAGACATCGACGCACCACTGGTTGTCCTTTGCCAGGGACAAACGGGTCCGGCAGTGATGCTCTAACAAGGAAAGTAGATTCCACTGCACTTTCTGGAGCTGTAGCAACTCCTTGCTCTGCAGCTACTTTCTGCAAGGCAGCCTACACCTCGTGAGCTACGAGCTCACGCACCGCGGCATCACGCTCTACATCGCGCATGGTGCAAAATTCACCCGGTAGCAATTCACGAGGAAAAACTAGGCTCTGATACCAAGTGGAACAAGCTTTACGAGAAAAGGCTTGTTAAGTGAATTTCAAAGCAGAAACTCTCTTAACAAGCATTTTTCTGTGAAGCTTGTTCCACTGCCTGCTATCTGTCAACAACCTCCCTAACATCCATCCCTCTTACCTCATATCCCCACTCACTCACCATTCAGAGCTCTGTATGCCGCCAGCAGCAGTGCCGGCAGTGACCCCCCATGCCGCCTGCACCGACGTGCCCACTGTGATCCGAGCCGACACTGCTGCTGCCCCCCCTGCTGCTGCTGTTGCTGCGGCTGCTGCTAAGGCTGCTGGGTCAGTGGTCTGGAGAGCAATGGGTTTGGATGGGAGCAGGGGCGGGGCAAGTCTGGACAAGTGAGGGGCAGGTACGGAAGGATTCTGGGTGAACACGTTTCCTGAGGAAGGGTTGAAACGTTGCGGAAGTTTGGATGAGTAGTGGGTTGAAGGGAAATGACGGGTGAGGGAAAGGGGGAGAGGGGGCATGGGCACGGCACACTGGCATGGGACGGGTGTGGGTATGTGAGGGATGGATGAAAAAGGGGAGGGAGGAGCTTTTGAGAATTCTCATAGTGGCTGATGAGGGGTTTGTCAGAGGAGGTGTCGGAGGGACTCTAACATGGTGATGATCTGGACTGCGGTGCGGTGCAAAGGAGTGCAATGCGGCGCACATGGTGGGTGAGATAAGATGTTTCCTTGATTTTTTTTTAAAGGGCACACTGAAGGAACTCACAGCAGCAGAAGTGGCCGGCACAAACGCCGTGGGGATGAAGGGAGCGGCAACTGCTGCTTCTGCTACTGCTGCACTTACTGAACTGAAGGCATGCTCACACTCCACTCACACTCACACTCACACTCACAGCAGCAGAAGAGGCGGGCACAAACGCCATGGGGATGAAAGGAGCAGCTGCTGCTTCTTCATCTCCTTCTGGTGGCGGCTCCTCCTGCGTCTGCTGCTCCGCTGCATTCAGGAGGTCCTCTGTGAGCTCGATGACCTGGTAGGGATGGGAGGGGGGGGAGTGAGGGAGGATGGAGTGACTTGGAATGAGGTGTGCGCAAAGTGTGTGTGGCAGGTCCTCCTGTGCCTCCGCTGCATTCAGGAGGTCCTCTGTGAGCTCAATGACCTGCCAGGGGAGAGGGGTGGGGGAGACATGGAATGAGGAGTGTGGAGTGTGTGTCGTCACGTGCTGGTCCCTCCTGTGCCTGCTGCTCCGCTGCATTGAGCAGGTCCTCTGCTAGCTCGATGACCTGGTGGGGAGGGGAGGGGAGGGGTAGGAGAGACATAGAATGAGGAGTGTGGAGTGTGTGTCATCGCGTGGTGGTCCCTCCTGCGTCTGCTGCTCCGCTGCACTGAGCAGGTCCTCTGTGAGCTCGATGACCTGCCAGGGAGGGGGGGGGGGGGGGGTGGAGTGACAAGGATACCTTTAATTCGACTCAAAATTCATGAGTGAGATGGAATGAGGAGTGTGGAGTGTGCGTGGTGGCTCCTCCTGCGTCTGCTCCTCCGCTGCACTGGGTAGGTCCTTTGTTAGCTCGATGACCTGCCAGGGAGGGGGGGGATGGAGGGGGGGGATGGAGTGGGGGGATGGAGTGAGATGGAATGAGGAGTGTGTGCAGTGGAGTGTGTGTGACGTGTGTGCTTAATGTTCTGGAAGAGGAGAGGGGGAGGGGGGGGGAGGGGGGGAGAGGGGAGAAGAGAGTGGAAGGCCGAGTGGAGACAACAACGAGAGCGGAGGGTGAGCTTCGTCAAGAGCGAGGATACAGCAGCGGGTGCTGACTGGCACTGTAGCGAATGAAAGAATGCGAACAGGTAGTGACTGACACTTGACTTGATCAGCCATGCGAGCAGCAGGTGTGAGAAAAGAGAAGAGAAGCGAGGCCACCAGGTGGTACATTAAGTGTGTTGGAAGAGCAGAGAAGAGAAGAGAAGAGAAGAGAAGAGAAGAGAAGAGAAGAGAGGCCACCAGGTGGTACATTAAGTGTGTTGGAAGAGAAGAGAAGAGAAGAGAAGAGAAGAGAAGAGAGGCCACCAGGTGGTACATTAAGTGTGTTGGAAGAGCAGAGAAGAGAAGAGAGGCGCCGATCTCACCTCCTTGAGCCCACTGGCCATCTCCTTGTACTCGTCATTGTCAGGATCCTCTATTAGCAACTCCGAGACCTGTTATAGGGGGCAGTTGAGTGCATTGCAATGGCCAAGGAGAGAAGCTGGTTTGGCGCAAACAAGCATTTTCGAGGCGCCTCAAAAAGAGAACAAAATGGTTTGGGAGCTTTGATTGAGAGACGCATGGAGCAGCAAAGAGGGTGAGAGGGCGCACGAATACATGACCAAAAAGGCACCGTATCAGCGATCTCGCATCTGTTGCCATGGTTTCTTCCCTATAGTCTCCCTCCCCTGCCCAATGGATCGCATCGCTCTCACCTGCTCTAGCTGCTCTCACCTGCTCTAGCTGCTCTCACCTGCTCTAGCTGCTCTCACCTGCTCTAGCTGCTCTCACCTGCTCTAGCTGCTCTCACCTGCTCTAGCTGCTCTCACCTGCTCTAGCTGCTCTCACCTGCTCTAGCTGCTCCCACCTGCTCTAGCTGCTCTCACCTGCTCTAGCTGCTCTCACCTGCTCTAGCTGCTCCCACCTGCTCTAGCTGCTCCCACCTGCTCTAGCTGCTCTCACCTGCTCTAGCTGCTCCCACCTGCTCTAGCTGCTCCCACCTGCTCTAGCTGCTCTCACCTGCTCTAGCTGCTCCCACCTGCTCTAGCTGCTCTCACCTGCTCTAGCTGCTCTCACCTGCTCTAGCTGCTCCCACCTGCTCTAGCTGCTCCCACCTGCTCTAGCTGCTCTCACCTGCTCTAGCTGCTCTCACCTGCTCTAGCTGCTCTCACCTGCTCTAGCTGCTCTCACCTGCTCTAGCTGCTCTCACCTGCTCTAGCTGCTCCCACCTGCTCTAGCTGCTCTCACCTGCTCTAGCTGCTCTCACCTGCTCTAGCTGCTCCCACCTGCTCTAGCTGCTCCCACCTGCTCTAGCTGCTCTCACCTGCTCTAGCTGCTCCCACCTGCTCTAGCTGCTCTCACCTGCTCTAGCTGCTCTCACCTGCTCTAGCTGCTCCCACCTGCTCTAGCTGCTCCCACCTGCTCTAGCTGCTCTCACCTGCTCTAGCTGCTCCCACCTGCTCTAGCTGCTCTCACCTGCTCTAGCTGCTCCCACCTGCTCTAGCTGCTCCCACCTGCTCTAGCTGCTCTCACCTGCTCTAGCTGCTCCCACCTGCTCTAGCTGCTCCCACCTGCTCTAGCTGCTCTCACCTGCTCTAGCTGCTCCCACCTGCTCTAGCTGCTCCCTGTAAGTGTTCAAGTTCTCCCGGAGCTCCTCCACGCTCTGCATGCTGCCTGGCCTCCCTGGCGCGGGGGGAGAAGGAGGGGGTCAAGGAGGGGAGGCCTGTGGGGAAGGAGGGGAGGCCGGGCGATTGGAAGAAGGAGGAGACGGGAAAGGGGGAGGAAGGCATATGGGGATATTTCATCGAATCTGCTTCTCCCGGAGCCTTCACGCTCTGCATGCTGCCTGGAGGGGGGGGGGGGGCGAGGGGAGGCGAGGGAAGGGATGCGGGAAAAGGGGAAGGGGGTGGGGGCAAGCATGCGAAACCATCTCACTAGGTTCTCCTGGCGCCACGCTCTGCATGCTGCCTGGAGGGGCGGAGGGCGAGGGGAAGGGGAGAAAACGGTGCGTGGTGGAGCAGCTGTGAGATAGCTGGAGCCGGGTTGGGGACTCTGCTTTTCTCGAGCTCCCCCACCCCACGCATGCACGTCATGCTGCCTGGGGGGGCGCAGGGGAAGGGGGGAAGGAGAGGGGACGGAAGGGCGAGGAAAGAGGAGGGAAGTGGGTGCAGGGACTTTTGAGACGTCTCAAAAGAGGAGGAAAGTGTGTGTAGGGATTCACGCCAGAAAGAAAGAACTGCCTATGTCCTCCCGAAGCCCGTCAGCCGCTTCTATTGGCTGGACAGAGCGCATGGAGGCGAGGAAGGAGTTTGGGATAGCCTCGTCCGGCTCTTGTGCTTCCCCCAAGCTGTGCTCTCCAGAGGTGACCTGTCAGTCGACTCAGAAGCCCCCACGTATGCCCTGCATGCTGCCTGGAGGGGCGGGAGCGAAGGGAAGTAGCAAGGCAGAGAGAGAGAGACGCGGGTGGTGGTGGGTGGGGTGGGGGCCAGCATGTTGAATCACATGATTAGGCTTCCCAGAAGGCCGGTGATGCTTGTCTATTGGCGGGTTAGAGAGCATAATGGGGAGGGATTGCGGACAACAGTCGTTTTTTGTTGGAACAAGGTTGGATTCTAAGATAGGGTTGGTATCTGAGATACTTTTCGGAGATTATTTTAATAGAATATGTCCGACAGTGCCACGCCCCGCATGCTCTGGATGGGGTGGGGGTGCGGGGAGAGAGGAGGGGTAGGGGGGTGGGGAGGGGCGGCGGTGGGTTGAGGCGGGGGAGGGAGGAGGGGCCGGGGGAGCAACGTTGGGAGCGTAGGAGGGAACGCTTTGAAGGAATTCAGGACGTGCCCGAACGCGCCGATCATTCGCGACAGGGGTGATCCGTGTCGTCATCGGGATGAGAGGAAACGAGGGGAGGCGAGACGAGGGGAGGGGAGATCGCAGCGGAGCACATCGTGACGAGGGCCATCGCGGAACAATCCGTAAGGGCAAAGGCTTCGACGAGAAGAGTCACCTCGCGATTGAGCTGACCACTTCGTTGACTAATTGAGAACCAGCTCGTTATCCAATAACGTCGATTAATCCTCGCGCGCTACCGGGCGCTCCTCGCGAAGCAGCTAGGTGGTAGGTTATTGCCGCAGGGATCAGAACCTTGCCCGTGTGTCGCGTGAAGGCGAACACGAATTCTAGTCACGCCGCGTGCCCTAGAGATAACTTGGGCCAAATGGGGGTGTTCAAAAGTCACAACTGCACGTTCATAACACTTGTGCACTCTGCTAGGGTTACAGGAAATGCGACGGATATGTGGCACCTCTCGTCACAAAAATCAGGCAATTTTCGAACTTGGGATGCAACTTGTAACAAACCAGACCATTAGTTGGTAGTCGAACAGTACTTGTTCCAACCTGATCAAATTTTCGCGAACCTTGTTCGCCAGTGGTAACTGCCTTCCAATGTGAACGCGATGAAGAGTGGCTGAACGACAGTGCTGGGAACTCCGTTTTCGCCCCCTTGCGAACTGCGACAAGCACCTCGCGAATAAGGTATTCCACAAGATACTGCACGACCGGGAAACCGCGGTATTCGTTCATGTCGCAAGTGCACCTGGGATTGTTTTTTCGTTTCTTGGTTGGAATCACCCAAAGCCTGTTTGTATTGCGGCGTGGCATGTAACACTCGTTCGTGTAGTACGGATCACGATCTGTTGCTCCTAGGGAGTACGTACAAGTCTACCCCGTTGCTCCACTTCCCAGATTCACTTCCCTTGAAGCGCGACGAGATCACTCCTCGCCACACATTTATACCGATTACAACTCCTCGCAACCACCACCATGATCTCGGCTCAGGAGCTGAAGGAGTTAGAGTCGCTGGAAAGGCAATTAAAGCCCATCGCCGGTAAACGCGGCGGAGGTCCCGAGGTACGCTCGTGGCGATCGCTCGCTTGCCTTGTTCGCCGAATCCGTGCGGAATAGCGCCATTCCGAGCTAATTTGTGGCTAGTTTTCTGGGGGAAGGGGGGGGAGGAGAGGATATTTTTTGGCTGCCTTTTCGGCGCGCAGTCCACCGATCCGTGTATTCGCTTCGCACCTCTCCGCCTCCCGTCCTCCCGCGCCGCCTCTCCCTCCCACCCACATGCGCCAAGAACCCGCGCGAGGTGCGGCGGCTGCTGGCTTGATGCCTCTCCGCGGCCCGACTGTTGCTCTTTCTCAATCACCCCCCCGCCCCTCCCCACCCCATACCCTCTTCCCTCCCCCAATCCCTCTCCCCGGCCCCTTCTGCGCGAGACGCGGCGGCTGGTAGTGTGTTGCCTCTCTCGCCCATCCGCACCCCCTCTCCCCAATCCCCATCCCTCCGCCCCCACAGTGCGCCAAGTACCTGCGCGAGGTGCAGCGACTGTTTTCGTGCGTTGCCCATCCTCGCCTCTCTCCCGCACATCCCCCCACCACCTCCCCATCTCCCTCTCCTCATCTCCCTCTCCCCATCTCCCCCTCCTCAACTCCCTATCCCCATCTCCCTCCCCTCATTTCCCCCTCCCCATCTCCCTCTCCCAACCCAACTCCCCGCCCCCCCTCAAAAGACGTGCGCCAAGTGCCTGTGCTGAGGGAGGAGCGGCGGCTGTATGCTTGAGGCTTCGTCTTCCCTCCTTGTCCGCTTTTGAGGCGCCTCAAAAGGCTTCGTCTTCCCTCCTTGTCCGCTTTTGAGGCGCCTCAAAAGGCTTCGTCTTCCCTCCTTGTCCGCGTTTGAGGCGCCTCAAAAGGCTTCGTCTTCCCTCCTTGTCCGCTTTTGAGGCGCCTCAAAAGGCTTCGTCTTCCCTCCTTGTCCGCTTTTGAGGCGCCTCAAAAGGCTTCGTCTTCCCTCCTTGTCCCCTCCCCTTCTTTACCCTTTCCCCCCCTCCCTCCCCCCCCTAGACGTGCGCCAAGTACCTGTGCTGCGGGAGGTGCGGCGGCCTCCCCTTCTGTGCTTAGGCCTAGTCCTCCCTCCTTGTCCCTTCCCATTCTTCCTCCCTCCCCCTTTCCGCCCTTCCCTCCCCCCACCCAGACCTGCGCCAAGTACCTGCGGGAGGTGCGGCGGCTGCGGCTGCGGCGGCCGTTTCAAGTGGCGGAGTATGGCATGGCGCTGATTAACAGCGCAGATGAGAGAAGCAAGCTGGGCGATGAAGGTGAGGAGGCTTGTAAGGGGTATAGGAGAGTGCTTATAAGGAGTATGCCATGACGCTGATAAACAGCGCGGGTGAGCGGATCAAGCTGGGAGACGAAGGTGAGGATGCTCATAAGGGGTACGAGAGGGGTTTCAAGTGGCGGAATATGGCATGGCGCTCATTAACAATGCAGATGAGCGGAGCAAGCTGGGGGACGAAGGTGAGGAGGAAGCTTATAAGGGGTACGCACGAGAGGGGTTTCAAGTGGCAGAGTATGGCATGGCGCTGATTAACAGCGCGGAAGAAAGAAGCAAGCTGGGAGATGAAGGCGAGGAGGGGGCTTATAACGGGTATGGGAGAGTGCTTATGAGTAGTATTGCATGACCCTGGTTAACAGCGACGAGGAGAGGAGCAGGCTGGGAGACGAAGGTGAGGATGCTTATATTGGGGTACGGGTCTATGAGAGGGTGCTTAGCATGGCGCTGATAAACAGTACGGAGGAGCAGGGGAGGCTGGGAGAGGAAGGTGAAGGGGTATGGCATGGCATGGCACTGATTAGCCGTGCAGAGAGGCCGATGCGGGAGACGAATGTGAGGAGGCTTATAACGGCTATAGGAGAGTGCTTATGAGGAGTATGGCATGGCGCTCATCAACAGTGTAGAGGAGAGGAGCAAGCTGGGAGACGAAGTTGAGGATGCTTTTAACGGGTTTGAGAGGGAGATTGTAAGGAGTATGGCATGGCGCTGAACAGCTGGGTGCGAAAAGGCAGAAGAATCTGGAATGTGAGGAGATTCACAAGGGGTATAGTTGGAGAGGGTGCTTGGGAGGAGAATGGCATGGCGCTGTGAGGAAGCTTATGAGAGGTATTACTACAGACAGGATGCTGACTTGCGCGGTACAGAGACGGGGGGAGTTGATCTCATAAGGTGGTGTCTTCCCTTGCCTGCTGCGCCTCATTCCCTGCCATTCCGCATTCTCCCACCCTCATGCCTTTCGCCCTGCGTTTTGATGCCCCGGACTTCATCTGCTTTTGCTTGCATGGCACGACGTGGCATGGAATGCCATCATTCCGCATCACATGCCTTACCCCATCGTGCATAATCCCTTATCTTGCTGTATCCCTCATGCCGCATTCCCTCTGTGCTACATCCTTCCGTCCCACCCTGCACCGTGTTTCACTGCGTGGCATTGCGCTGCACCGCATCGCACCGCGTCCAGTGTGGGATGTGATGGAGCAGGTGGCGATCGCGGCCATGGACTGCCAGCAGCTGGGCACCGCCAAGGTGAGGCGGGGGAGGCGGGTAGGGTGGGGTATAGGAAGGGGGGTATGGGAAGAGGGGAGGAGAAAGAGGCATGGGCTGAAAGGCATGGGGAGGGGTGCAGGAGATGGGGTGTTGGGCCATGGAGCAGGTGGCGGTTGGAGCGGGGCATGGGGGGGGGGATGCATGGGGGGCATCGGCATGGGGAGAAGCGGACAGGTCATGGAGTTTCCATTGCAAGGAGCTGGAGTTTCATTCCCGCCTCTAGCTGGGTTCTGAGTTGAATAGACCAGAAAGTGGCACTTTAGTCCCGCCCCTAGCTGAACCTCTGCAAGCATTAGTTGTGGGGCATTAGTGCCACCATATTGTCGCATCATTGGCACTTTCGTTTTTGCCGTCTACCATGCAAACCGCACTGCACCGCTTCTAATAGCTACTAACATGCCTTGGGTTGTGTGGTGTGCATGGCAGGAGTGCATAGGAGCCCTCATGATTGCATTTCCCAACAGCACTCGCGTGGGTGAGTGAGACTCTTCACTGCTCACCACCGCAGTTCAATGCACCAGCACCTTTGGTCTGTTTGTTTCACCACACCAAACCCCTCTGTGCACCACCTGCTCTGCACTTCACCACTTCACACCGCTCGGCCACCCCCGCTTGGTCCTTGCCACTTTGCGTGTAACGCTCATGACCTCACTGGCTCACTGTCCCTCTAGTTTCGTGATGACTTTGAAGTTCTGTAAGGCCTGGAGACAGCAGAGCCTGCTATTGCACACAGCGGGGATGTGATCCTCTCCCAGAGGTGCAGGCAGGCTTGTTCTCACTTGGACCCTGCACTGGGTGCTCTGCTCTGCTCTCCTCTCCTCTGCTCTCCTGTCCTCTCCTCTCCTTTCCTCTCCTCTTCTCTGCTCTCCCCTGATCTCCTCTGTTCTTGTGTGCGGTGCAGGGCGGTTGGAGGGCATGTGGCTGGAGGCGAAGGGGTGGTGGGATCAGGCGGACAAGGTGTATACTGACCTGCTGGAGAGCAACCCGCAGGACCAAGTAAGTGGGTATGGCCGCAGGAGCTATTGGGTGTGCTTACTTCCCTTTCCTCTCTTGTTGCACGGTCAAGACTCGGGTGGTGGGATCAGGCGGACAAGGTGGGTGGGTGTGGAGGGCCAGGTGTGCCCATTCCCCTTTCCTCTGTTGTGGCAGGGTCAGCAATGACTGCTGCAGCAAGGTAAAAAAGGGGTGGTGGGATGAGGCAGACAATGTGTACAGCGATCTGCTCGTGAGCAATCAACAGGAGCAGGTGGGTATACCGGCAGGACCAGGTGGGTGGGTATGCCTTTTTTACAGAGCCTCCCTCTTACCGCCTGCCCTTTCTTCTCTTCCCTCTTGTCCCCCTCAACCAGTGTTGGATTGCCACGTGGCAGCACTCATGAGCAAAGACAACACTGCAGCAGCCATCTTAACTCCATTTCTGTCTTCTCTCTCTCCCTTTCCCTCGCTGCTCCC